CTACGGCACTTAACAACACCAACAACAAGTCTTTACAGATGCCGACTGCCCCGTCTTTCTTTTGTGGAGCTGACTGTGGGCTCCAACCTCCAACCTTTCCATCAGTAGCCCAGTGCTTGACAGAACACATCATTGGAAGAAAAGAGAGAAACGGCTGCTTTAAAAAGTCATTATCATTATATAATTTGTTAGATTTTACACACTTTTCCACATTTATTTAATTTCATTCTTCATAAGAGAAAAAAAATCTCCAAAAAGAGAGAGGGAAAAGGGAAAAATGAAAACCATTCTCTAAATGACACACACCTCTTGGAAGTACTTAGCCAGATTTGAAGTGCCTTATCTATGCCTTAAGAAAATGTAGCCTCTTAGAGCACTTTTAAATGTGTTCTGTTCAAGGAGAGAACGTGAATGATAAATACTTACATAACAGTTATGAAGATTACATCAATATCTCCAACAATTTATCTGGGATCTGTGTTTCGTTTGTAGTTGGAACAACATAAAATATTTTGTCATAAAAGTTAGCTTGATTTAAATTTTTATAAGTATTTCCATAGAAATTGTTGTTGTTGTTAAGTGCTGTCAAGTCAGTTCCGACCCATAGCGACCCTGTACAGGGTTTCCTAGGGTGTAAATCTTTACGGGAGTAGAAAGCCTCATCTTTCTCTAGCGGAGCGGCTGGTAGTTTCAAACCGCTGACCTTAAGGTCCGCAGCCCAATTCTAGTCATCTCCGCCTCTTAGTGACCCTGTATTGGGTTTCTGAGGAGCAGCTGGCAGATTTGAACTGCCGACCTTGTGGTTAGAAGTCCAGTGTTTATTCTATAGTGCCATATCAGTACTCAGAAATTATTATGATGTGACACTGTAGGATAAGCACTGGACTGCTAGCTGCAAGGTTTGTAGTTCAAGCCTACCAGCTGCTCCTCAGAAGCCCTATACAGGGTAGCTATGAACTGGAACCAACATTTAACAATGACAACAACAGCACTAAGAGCAGTATAATAATTTCAGAACCAACTCAGCAACACTTCACAACAACAATAATTAGTAAGGTTACTCTACCTGAGTTCAGAACCATCATTTATTCATTAAAATTAAAGCCAGGCATGGAATGTCATTCAAAAAGTATCATAGTGCTAATAGCTAGTGTTGTTATTAGTAAGTGCCGTTGAGTTTGTTCCAACTCACAGCAACCCTGTCTAGGGTTTCTAAGGGACAGCTACTGAGTTTTGGACCCTGACCTTGCGATTCAAACTGACCTTGCAGCCCAGTGCTTGTCCTACAGAGCCACAATAGCTAACTGTTGTGTGCCATGGAGTCAGTTCCGACTCATAATGACCCTGTACAGGCTTTCCGAGCTTTAAATCTTTATGGGAGCAGAAAGCCTCATCTTTCTCCCATGGAACAGCTGGTAGTTTTGAACTGCTGACCTTAAGGTTCGCAGCCCAATCCGTAACCACTATGCTACCAATAGCTAATAGTACTATAACAATTTATGAGTTCTGGTGTACCACAAGGTTGGTTTGAACTGCAAGATTGGCAGCTCAAACTCTTCTGTTGCCCCTCAGAAACACTCTACAGGGTTGATATGAGTCAGAACCGACTCAGCAGTATTTAGCAACAACATAAAGATAAATGAAGTCTTGATGCATGCAACAACATGAATGCTTGGAAGCATTATACTGAGTGAAAAATGTCCACCACTAAAGAACAAAGGGTAGTGTGATGGTTTCATATGATAAGTACTGGACTGCAAATCACAAGGTCAGTGGTTCAAGTCTGCCAATTGCTCCACAGGAAAAAGATCATTCTTTCTTCTCAAAGATTTAAAGTTGTGGAAACCCTATATAGGGTCACTATGAGTCAGAAATGACTCCAAAATACTTAACAACAACAAAAACAATAAAAGATCAATCCTGTATAATCTCACTTATATGAAATAGGAAAATGTATCGAGATCAAAGTTTGTTAGTGGTTACCAGAGGTTGGATGGAGATGGAAAGGAAGAGGTTTAACTTAGGGAACACCGAGTTTCTATTAATGGTGATAGAATAACTTGAAAAAGAATAGTGCCGATAGTTATACAACATGATGAATGTATCAATGTCACTGAATTATTCATGTCAAAGTTTGAATTTACAACGGTTTTGATTTTTTTTTCTTTGTTTTACCACAATCAAAATAAAAAGTTTGCTGGGCAAACAATTCCGAAGTGCTGAGTGAGCGATTTGAGCACTTACTTCTACCGGGCAGGGCGGGGAGGAGGCTGGGGGAAAGATGCTATAGAAAGCAATTCATGTTATGTATTCTCTATGAACAATCAAAAGATATTTCTTACGGAAAAATTTCTGAATTGTAAAAATGGTCTAGAGTAGCAATCATAGGGATGTTAGGGTGTAGAAATTTGAGAATGGAAGAATGCTAACGACTGGAGGTGATGGACCAGAACAAGAAGAGGCACAGCGGACAATGCCCTTCGGTGTACATATTCTAGCTGATTTCCATTTCCAGACGATTCTGTCTGCACCAATAGAACAAAAACAGATTCACCCCAGTACAGCCTATGCATGCCTCATTAACCAGACCAGAATACCCTGTCGAAAGTTGGGGCAATGAGAAAGATTTGTTTCTTTTGTTTCTGGCATAATTTATAAACCTTCTGAGGAGAATGTAAATAGATGTAGCTCAAGAGCTACATCATTTTCGAACTAACCTTTTTTATTTTTTTTAGAGACATCAAGAAGCACTCTGTAAATGGATGATCTTACAAGGATATGACATCATGCTGGTGTTGTAGGCTTTGGCCACCACACTGAGATTGACCCAAAATGAATCTTTTCCTTGAAAATTTAGTAAAAATATTTTTACCACATTACATCAGGCTTTTATTATATTAAACATTATGCTTTCTTCCTGTCATGCTGAGGCTCTGACAGTTCCCTGAATGGGCCAGGCTCTGACTAGAATTCAGGAGTTACAATTCCTCTCTCCTGGGTATCCCACCCTTCTGTCTCTCAAAAGTCAGCTTAGGCACAGGAACCTTTCCATATAAACTCCTTGATAGCAGGGATCCAGAGAGGATAGCCTAACAGTTACGAACATAGATCCTAGAGGCTAGTCTGCTTGGGTTCGAGACCAGCTCCAACACTTACTGCTGTGTGATCTTGGACAAGTTCCCTAACATCTTTATGCTTCAATGTTTAAAATCTGACGATAATATCACACATCATTGAGTTGTGACAATTGAGTTAATACATCTACAACACCTAAAACTCTAAGATCTATTAAAGTGATTGTGAGATTGTTACTGTTTTCCTCTTTGTCATCATTTGTCTTGGTTTCAGCATCATCCGTCGTCTTTACATCCCCAGTGCCTGGCACAAGACACAGCATATAGTAGGTACTCAACAAATTGGTTCCCTGAGTGCTGCAAATGGTTGAGCACTTGACTACTACCCAGAAGGTTGGTAGGTCAAACCCACCCAGAGGTACCTCAGAAGACAGGTCTGGCAACCATTTGCGAACAGGCTCACCCTTGAAAACTCTGTGGAACAGTTTTACTCTACACACGAGTCCCCATGAGTCCGAATCAACTTGACAGCAACCAGCAACTGGTGTTCAACGAATGTTTTGAGAGTTGACTGAGTAAATGGATGCATAAAGTAAACAGTGGCAGTGAAACTACAGTTTAATTGCATCTCTCAAGAAGATAAACAGCCAAAAAGTTCTAATAACTATTTCATTCTCAATTATATATTATAATTAATGCTCAAAATTAATTATCTGGCTAAGCAAAGATTCTTTATTCTGAAAAATCAAGATGAAATTATTTTCAATATTGTCTTAGTGATAGATTGCTGCTGAAACAGAAATACCACAAGTGAGTGGCTTTTACTAACAGAAATTGATTTTCTCACAGTCTCAGAGGCTAGGAGGCTGAATTCAGGGTGCCTAGGGAAAGGCTTTCTGTCTCGGCAGACTATGGAGGAAGGTCTTTGTGTCTTTGAACTACTGCTCCTGGGAGCTCTGTACGTGGTGTGGCATCTCTCCTCCCCATCTCTGTTCTGATGGCTGGTTTCATTTCTTTTATATCTCAAAAAGAGATTGACTCAAAATCCATCCTATACTAATCCCGACTCATTGACATAACAAAGACAACCCATCCCCAAATAGGATTATAGCCACAGGCATAGAGGTTAGAGTTCACAATGCAATTTTGAGGGGACATAATTCAATATACAGTAAGTACTACTTCCTTAATGTATATCACATTGCATTCTAAATTCATTAAAAGAAAAAAAAAACAAAAACAACTTGCTACTCCCCTGCGGTAGCAATTCTTAAGTAACCAGAATATTTAAATTCTCTGAATGCCCCAGGTCTCAACATTTCTGAATAAATGATCATTCCACTGTATTTGAATGCAATAAAAAATTAGCATTATCCTAGATATCATTACAAGTATTAAATAGCTTTCTGACCATATCCTTATTTAGATTTTCTTTTTCCCCAAGTTTTATAGGTCTACAAATGTCTTAGAGCATGTTAATGTTGAAGAAGTTGAAATACCCTCAAATTCCCCTTTGGGAAGTAGAAGCTGTGAAGTCACTGGGCGGTCATGGGGTGACAGAAATCAGGGGAGCCAAGCCACCCTCATAAGTGAATTCCAATCAGTAGGATCACTGTGAGCTAATTGCCTTCTTTTCAGCACTGAATTTAGGCCAGTTGTTACCCAACATTTGAACATACATTTGTCATTCCTGTTGATTTCTGTACATGGCTACTCATCCATTTGAGTCACACCACAAATGCAGAAAAGCATGACCCATTTTCAGAAGTGTAAAAAGTTAGGTCAGCACCCACATCTGAGGTGACACATTCTCTGTATTAAATATTTATGGGATATCTGCAAGTAGAAATACTCAAAGAAATCAATATTTCCCATGACCTTGAACTAGTTTGTTTGAGAATGATATTTTCATTCATAACTTCATACCTTTAATTCTCCAATGGAGGAAAGTAGTCCTGCTCCATAGGCCCGCAACTGTCCTTCTTGTTTGCAAAGGCCAAACTCAATCGTGAAGAAATAGCACTGAAAAACATTACATGGACATATATCCAGCAAATTAGCCAACAAGTTCTTCAATAGAATAAAATAGAAAAAAAAATAAAATACAATGGCACACTATGCATAATTTCTTCAACATGGTGTGCTAACTTAAATACACATGAATTCATAACATTTATTGAAATCTTTTATCTTGCTTATTAATCCATCCCTAGGTCAAATGGACCTAGGATCCCTGGTATAGCACTGTAGGATAAGCACTGAACCATAAGATCAGTTTGAACTGCAAGGTCAGCAGTTCAAACACACCAGCTGCTCCTCGGAAACCGACTTGAATTGACTCAATGCAACAACAACAACAATGGGTTAAAGGTATATGAAAAGGATATTAACTACTAAGTTTCTAATTCTTCCTGAATTCAGAAATCCTGTAAGTCAAATCACATTCCCTGCAACAATTTAAAAAGTAAAAAGTCAAACGTTTACAAATAAAATGAGAATCGCACAAGGTTAATACCATAAGGATATGTACTATATTTACAAAGCTATCTTTTAGTGGTACAAATTAGATGTATGCCAATGTAGAAAAATAACTTACAACTGAAAAATTCTAATTGATTATTTACAGTTTTCATTTGATTCATTTAACAAACATTTTTGAGTACCCTCACCAGCTGCTCCTCGGAAACCCTATACAGGGTCACTATGGGTCGAATCAACTCAACGGCACTTAACGAACGACAACAAGAAGGTGCTAAAGCTTGACATTTGGTATGTAATGCTAAAGAGACAAGAGAACAAAAAAATAAGTATATGACTACCAAATTATTAAACCATAATCCTACTATAATTTTAGTGAAATCTTACCTTTCTGTGCATTGAAGTGTATGTAATTTTTTAAATAATAGTTTCATTGACCTGAGTTTTACAAGGGTCAACTACTACAGCTTCCCTGGGATATTAAAAATTCCCAGTTGGTTCTGTAGGGTTTTGAAAACCCAACCGACACAGAGAAATCTCTGCACAAACATAAAACTCACAGTGCTGTTGAGAGGGGATGAAATCACACTATTCTTGCTCCGAGAGAAAGTGAGAAGCTGACAATGAGCAATAAAAATTGTATCACATTAACACTGTCCTGCATTAGCGATGATAGAGCGCTAAAGGTGTTGAGCAAGAAGAAAATTTAAATACTACTAAAAAGGAAAGAAAAAAATGATTATTTCTAGCCCTTGGCAATTTGCTCTATTTTTATTTGTAGGTTAAGATGTTCCTTGGTTCAAGAGGGTT